CTAGAGGAAAAACAAACCATAAACTCTACCATATTTATGAGCTTCCAGTGAAACTTCTTGAGCTCCCCAATTTTTAATTATAAAAGGGGCTTGATTTTTTTAAACAGATGTTCTTTACTATTGATAGGTGTATCATTGCACTGTATCCAAGAACACTGAATATTGTGAATTTCCATTTAGTCTACACCGATTACTTTTTATAAAATACTAATATGAACAAATTCACTTCCAACCACTACGCTATAAAGATCTGCCAAAGCAATACAATAAGGTATGAGTAACATGCTATGACTGTACAGGGCTAGGTGACAAGCACACTATCTACCTATCAGAGTCGTAACGTTAGTGGAAAAGCAACAGTGGGGAGTTTTCCTAAATGCCTCAGTGCTCCTTAATGCTGGCCACACAAAAGTCTATGACAAAACTCCTGCCATCTTCAGTAGTGAAGATTTTCACTCAATGGGTTTTGGTGTTATATTTAATTTTAAAAGGTATTCCAAAGGATGTAATTTAGAATATGTAGAGCAAAAGATATTTTGATTTGTCTCTACAATCACAGACACACAAAAATAAATGTCAGCCACAGTTTGGCTGTATCATCAGTTAAAATGTGCTGAAAACGGTAGAATTTTCTATAAAATTTCATAAGTGGAGTGAGGGTCTCTAATTTCCTAAATTATGAGCATTAGAGAGAGAAATAAGAGTCCTTTAGGACATACCTACACTGCAGTTAAAATAGAGTCAGAGACCTTGGTTACAACATTCCAATTTGCAATATAAAGTGGTCTTTAATAGAGTCCCTTAACAGTACTACAGCCTTAAACAGTAATATAGTGTTTATGCTCCCTAGGCATAGTATTAAAATAAAGAAAAACAAATGTTATTTAATTGTCCCCAAAGATGTGTGTTGCTCTTATCTCAGAACTCAAACCTGTATTGCAGAAAATCTAAATTCAGGAACAACAAAAGGGCTGGTTTAGATCTTGTGTACATCTATAAACACTGCTATCTAGTCTAACACAGATTACTTTATAAAATACTAATTGTGTTAGTAAAAAAAAAGGGCTGTG